AGGTGGGGGGGGGGAGGGGTGCCAACAGCTATCCCAGGGGGCATGGTGAACCAGAGTTACCCAAGTAAAACTCTAAGGACAGGGGTGGGAGGAGTCAGATGACCACACAGTGAGTGAAGCTGCTTCTGGCAACTTGACTCTTGAGCCTTGGTGGAAGGAAAGAACAGACTGGAGAGCTGTCCTGTGATCAAAGGCGTGGGCTTCTGACATTTCTAGGAGACGCAGTCTCACACCTAACTCCTGGTTCCTCTGGCTCTTACAATCCTTTTCCTCCGTCTTAGCCATGTTCCCCAAGCTTTCCTTTAGGTGCAGGGGTTGCAGTGTAGATGCAAGGGCTGAGACCAGGCCCCACAGCTCTGCCATTTCTGTTGGTTGTAGTGTCCCACAATGGTCTACAGAATGTTTCTGACATTTATTTAAAACTGCATGGAAAAAATAGCAAGCACAACTGAGGGAAACAATTATGGCTTTGCTTCTGCAAACTGGAAAAGCATTCTACGGGCTGCTATAACATTTTTACTTATGTTTTAGGAGAGAACCTGAGAACCATACAAAACCCAAATTTCACGCTTCAATAGCGCCGTGAATCAAACCCCACAATAATGTGCTTTCTTATCAGCCTGCAGAATATCCTCGAGTCCGAACGGTCCTAATAGCTATGGCTTGGCAGTACTGAATGCTGTGACACACACTCTCACACACCTTGAACACCACCTGCGGTGGTTAAATGAGACCGTCAACTTTTGTTCTATTGCTTTTTCAGCCCGTCTTAAACGCAATTACTATTCTATTACTGTGCACACGAGAGAGAATTTACCAGCTTGGAATTTAGAGGCAAGTGCAACAGACAGGGGAAATACAGCCACCTCCTCTGGTTTCCAAGAAGCTGCAAACAACCACCTACATGTTTCCAAGACACACATCCGTCACACCAAATGATACTCTGGGCAGGTCTTCATGCCTATTCATGAGAGATTCATCGGTGAAAAGTGGGCTGAGACAGAAGAATGGAAGCAGAACACAATAGGCAGGTCGGCAATGCCTTTTAAACCCAAATGGTTATTTCTGGCCCATTAACATCTCCAAATCCAAATAGAGGCCACCAGTCTCTGAGGAAAACTACCAAAGCAGAACCATAATTCAAGTATTTTACATCCAGAGAGCATAAAGAAAACCTACAGCTATAACACTGAACAAACTGGCTGTCGTTTTACAGCCACTAAAAAAATGTAAATAGAAGAATAAATTCATGTTCTATCAGTCCTGTGGCCTAGTACCACTCTCAGAGAAGGGGAGACATAACATTCAAGGGGTACGATTGTCTGGGCAGTCTTTCTAGGCTACACCTATGAGAAGCTACTGGCTTTTTATGAAGAGTTCCCCTAAGCTAGGCAACTAGGTCAGGGTGAAAGAAACAGAAAACCAGGCTTCCTCGCAGGATGTGCTTAGCGCCCATTGGGAGGGGCTGCCAAGCATGGTAACCCCAAATGTCTTTTGGGTTATGGTTCCAGCAGGTGGCCTGCAGAAGGGAGAACCCTGGACTGCTTTAGAAACGCAGCAAGGCCACAGAATGAAACGCCATTGCTTTGTCTGCCCAGCACAGAAACAGGTTAACAGCATCCAGAAAGAAACCCCAACCAGAGGCCTCTTCATCCTTTAGTACATGCTTTCCAAACAAAAACCCCTTCCACACAGCCTTGTTAACTGGCTCACGAGCCTGCCGCTTGAATCTCTTACTTGATTTTGCCTCCTTGTCTTATTTCTAATTTTTTTTTTTTTTTGGTTTTTTTTCCCCTTTCAAATCAATTGATCTCCAAAGGCGAAACCACTGTCAGCTGAAAACCATCACTTAAAGCTTGGGAAAGCCTTGAAGAACAGACACCTGATCCATAGTGCTATTGAAAATATGACCAGATATGAAGCTCCATTTATCTGAACTTGTGGCTTTTATTAAAGCAGCCTAAATCCTTTGCAAATATGCTTTTCCAGAAAGCTTGATCAATGCAGACAGGCAGGCAGGATTACCAGTGACTGATCGTGCAAAACAAGACCCACTGATGTCCACGGGGAGAACTGTGGTAGTTGAGGTGTTTGGAACCAGCAAAGACCCTACCGCTTCCTCCTTGGTTAGGCAGCTTCTTACGGCTCATACTTAGCTTCACTTGCAGATGGATTTGGCTATTCACACAAATATTCCTGTCCTGGCATCATGGCTCAGTTGAAACTGAAAGCTGAAAATTAGCCATACAGGAGTTAAAAAAAAAAAAAAAAAAGGTATTCCAGTTATCAGGGAGGAATAATTAAATGCAGATTGCCTGTTGCGTCTTTAATTTAATTTGGAGGCCTTTCATCCTTTACTTTCCTTCATTTGCAGCCAATACTTAGTGAGCTAATTTGTACCTGGTTCATCTTCCTCCTTTTATCTTATCTTTTTTTTTTTTTTTGTACCAACTGTGGAGATTAGAAGCTCTATGAACAAAAAAAAAAAAAAAAAAAAGATGAAGCCTGACTTGGTACATTCTTTCCTTACATGCTATGAGTTACTTAAAAATGAATTTGTGCATACATTCAATATAAAGGGTGGAGATACAGGCCTGAGTTCTGAAGCCTCCTCTTTCCCCGCCGAGAAGCTAGTGTTGAATACTTTACGGGCTTCACTATTTTCTCCAAGGGAATAGTGTCTAGACTGTAGTCCACATAGAATCATTAATTCCGGAGGGGGTGCAGAGTGAGTCATCCCATCAACAAAACCAAGAGCGTAAAGGAAAATAAACACCAAATTATAGAAAATGCACAAGAGGATTCATAAGCCTCACTAATCAAGTTGAGAGTCGTGTAAGGAAAAAGGATTATTAATAGGAAAATGAAATATGTAACTCACATTAATAACAAAGAATATGTCTCTATATGCCTGGGAGGAGGAAACATGGGCAGTTCTGGGGAAAGGTGCATGCTATAAACTGCTGTTTGAGGGAGAGGTTCAGGAGATACAATGCGTCCTGAATCTTCCAGTGACAAAAACCTGCCATACATCTATACATAACTAGTCATACATAGTCTGAAAGTATCTACAACACTATTTCTAATTGTATGACACTTTTGATTGCTAAAATAATGATCTTTCTCTTTGCCAATACTTTTTCTTCCTCCTACTTGGGTCCCCTTCCTCTTATCATTGCCCAATCCTTCTCCATAGACCAATGGGGGAAAAAATCCACCGATTTTTCTTCTGCTTTTTAATACCCTCCACACAAGCCCTCTTTTCATTGGGGGGAGTCTCAAAGGGAGACTGTGTCTGATTGTTCCCCTGCCCGTGTGTGCCAACTTTTCTACCGCTCTGTCACCTCGTGCCAACAGGCTGAACACTGGGATAAAGACAGCCTTCCCCCTTTTCCAGTTTAGCCCCCTCAAATGTCAATTAACAGCGATGCACACTATTTTCCTTAAACAGGATCATGCATCATAGGGAAAGCAACTTCAGAGTTGGGCAATAAAGAAGACTTGGCTTAAAATTAAATAAGCATTCAGAGTTAAAGGTCTTTGCTTCAAAACACAAGCACTCCTTTTAGAGGAAAGGACAAGCAAGCAGCTCCACTTTAAAATAAAAGCCCAACTTTAAAACAATCACTTGGTAACTCTAATCATGGCTATAATAAAAGCCATGTTATACACTGAACCAAGCTTATTTCTCTGGGGAAACATGAAAAGCAAATCCCATGGAATGAGAGATAATTACTCTCCTTATATTCAAGGAGAGGGTAGAAATGAAGGTGGCAACTAACTCTTAAAAACCAGATTTGAAAACCACATAGACAAAAATGAAACACGAAGGGTCCAGAGGCCAAGAAAGCAACCTGATGCTGGGAGACAGCATGTGGGTGGGGAGGTACTTAGGGTATTCGGCTGCTGGATAACCAATACAGGTTGTGTGATGTACTCAGTGTCCTGCGCAGACAGTATTTCCAGAACGTCCAATTTCCTAGGGGGAATGGAGGAGCTGGGGGAGTATTGAGGAGGATGGATGCAAAGGAATTTCAGGTGGAGAATTAAAGTCCCACGGGGCAAAGAAATCAAGATTCCATTCAGCTGTAGTGGGGGGGGGGGGAACCCCACACACAAAACAGATAAAACCACTAACCCAGTCTCCTTCACTGACTCCCAGCATTATCATAGAAGATCAGCCATAAGAAAGGCCACCTGCCTACCTCTGCTGCTGCTGTGCACACGCAGGTGGCCTTCCAGAACACTGGCCACTTCAGCAGCAGGGGGCGGCCAAGGCTCTGGATCGATCTCAGAGAACACAAGGTAGCCTTCGCTCCAAGCCAGAGTGGTCTGACAAACTCCAAACCAGACAGGTCTCAGAACGGTCTAGAAAGGGGGTCAGCAGGCCATCCGGATGATGCCTGGGGCAGTGAAAGCCTTAAGGGGTAGGCAGAAAGAACAGTTCCAACTCACATGCCAAAGCGTTAGGAAAGATGGAAGGAGCCCCCCTCCCCCCCCCCGTATATCAGCGTTTGCAACAAGGTCTAATTTAGCACCAGGGAGCTGGCTGTACCACAAGAGGTGGGTCCCTAAGTTGAGTTAGTACCCCTTCTGCGTGCTACTCCATTCAGAATCACCTGTAGGCACTGATAGAGCCTCCTAGGAAATCAAGCCCAGCTCCAGCTTTGGGCTCCATCCAGTTTGGCCAGATCACCTGTGCTATTTACTGAGCCCAAGCTCGGACAGGGCAGGCAAGAAATCCCAAGGCAGACTCTTCCCACCCTGGACCACAAAAGTCCCCTCAACACCCTTTCTCCACCCAAGACAACCAGAAGGGGAGGCTAGGGGCTGCCCATCCGTAGCTGTTCCAAGGCAGTGTCCGGGATGTGTGCACGGAGAACTGAGAGAGAACTTAGCAAGCGCACACAGAGCACAAAGGGGACACGGCCCTCGGAGCCCCGCCGCCCCTGTCCCTTAGGTGCGCGGAGGGGTGGGGTGGGGGGGGGAGGACACACTACCTCCTGGAAGAGCTCCAGACTGTAGGTGTTGTCGTCGTCGGCGAAGAAGAGCACGCCGGGCTGCGCGCTCTGGTGCTGGTGCCTCTGGCGCAGCCAGGCGAGGCCCGCGTTGCGCTGTTCGGTGGCGCGCGGCAGCCACGGTCGCTTGTAGCGCCGCGGCGTGGGCACGTGCAGGTGCGTGTTGGGCAGCCCGGCCCGCGCTAGGAAGCTGCTCACCAGCTCGCTGCGTGTGGCTCGATCCTCCACCAGGATCCAGTGCAGCTGCGCCACCTGGCGGAACGTGTTGGCCAGGCGGGTCAGCTCGGCTTTCTGCACCGGGCGGCTGTAGGTGGGCGTGATGGCATAGATGGTGGGCAACCGCGGCTCCGGCTGCGGCGGAGGCCGAGACTCGTTGCGCTTCTCGGCGGCGTCACGCCCTAGGCTGCTCCGTCGGAGCGGGACACGGGAGCCCCCGCAGCCCACTGTGTGGGGCGAGAAGTAGGGGCGCGAAGTGAGTTGGGGCGCGGGCCTGCGGGGATCCACGTCCAGCATGATGATGACGATCAGGATCCAGGGCAGGAGGATGAAGAAGCGGCTGCACAGTGCCGACTTCATGGTGCGCGCTCCCCGGCGTCTCGGGCACCCCTCCCGGCAAGGACTAGACTCGGGGTGGGATGGGGGGGGGGGAACCTCGGTGTGCAGCTCGGACGGCGGCGGCGTCAGCTGTCAGGGAGCAGCTGCAGGCGCCCTCTCCATCCGGCCCCGGGCGTTGCGTTGCGGGGACCTGGGCGTGCGGGGGTCGGCGCAGATTCCGGGCAGTTTGGAACTCCAGGCAGTGCAGAGGGTCGGGCTGGAGCGGTGGGTCACTCTGGTTGAAGTCGGCGGGAATCTGGACGCGGTCCAGCCGCGCTCTGCCGGCCCCGGAGTTGCGCCGAGTGCGAGCGAGGCGGTGGTCCCCGCTGCGCTCTTTCCAGAGTGCGAGCCTGGAACCCGCGAGCCCGCGTGCCACGCCGCTCCCGTCCCGCGCCGCCACTGGCAACCAGGCTCCGGGCTGCCGGCCTCGGCGAGCGCTCTGGGACCCTTTGGAAGGCGGCGGCAGATGATGGCTGGGGGCTCTCCTCCGTCACAGGTCGGCCGGTGCAGCTGCCATCCCGGGTGGATGCTGCGCCGCCAGCTCCGTTCGCTCGCCGCGGCGGAAACCTGCGCCCGCCCGAGCCCCGCGCTCTCGCTCTCTCTTTCTCGGAACCTCTCCCGGCTCCAGACAGCAAGATCCCAAAGCAGGGAAAGAAAGAAAAAGCGAGGGGGCGGGGGCGCTGCAGACTCCAGCGTCCTCCCAGTGCTCCTGTGGGAAGATAGCAGCGCTGCTACTGGTGGAGAGGGGCTGCGGGGCGGAGGCGGGAAGGGCCCAGGCTCTCCGTCCTCTCTCTCTCTCTCTCCCTCTCTGCCGGCTCTGAGCTTGGTGCTCCTGGCGGCCAGAGGCAGCGGGAGGGAGGATGGTCCCCGTGGGGCTGCGCGACCTCTGCCTGTGGGGGATGCTCTTCTCAGATCGCCGAGAGAGCTCGGATCTCTGAAATGCTACAGGGTCTTTGGAGATCAGCCAAAGAAACCCATTCGCGTGCGGACAACTCCAGAGACCTACAGAGGGGAGAGGGACGGAAGAGGCGGAAAAAAAAAAAAAAAGATCCCTCCCCTGGCTCCTGGCTTGTGGGATTGGTGGGTGTACAGAATCTCGGCAAGGAAAACCGCTTTCTCATGAAAGGGAGAGGTCAATAGAAGCCCGCGAAGCTGGAGGGTGCCTCACATAGGTGTTCGGTACGAGTGGCAGCCCGTTCCAATGCATCATTTCCAACTGGCACTGGCCGGCTACAGTTGGATCTCTGGGGGATGAATTTCTGAAAACTCCAGCCGAGTAGGTTTCACTCATTTTTCTTCGTGTTGGAGCCCTCCGGGTTTGTAGTCTTAGGAATTATTCCGTGTGCCTAGGATTCCTGGGGTCACCCTCGTTTTCTGCATGAGGGAGTTGATGATAGAGACTTAAAGGGCTGCTGAGGTCAGTGGTAACCCGCAGCGGGAAATAGAACGTCAGGTGTCCTGGCTATAACGCGTGGCTTCCTCCCCCCACACACCCTGTCAGCACAGCCTGGCTGCAAATGACTGGTAAGATGGTACCATCAAATCAGGCCGTCAGAGGACACCAAACAGAGCCATGGCAGTACCTGGAAGATGCTCTCGGTTGTTGAGGATCTATTAGCGTTCAGCTGTCCTTATGAGGTGGTATGCTGCTAGACACACCCCAGAGAGCCTCAGGGACTCACCTCTCCCCAACCACCCCCCCCCCCCGCCCCAGAGAAATCATTTCTGAGAGCCTATCTTCCTCCACAATCTGACCTTCTCAGTCTTAAACCTTACAAATTCTTCTGACTACATTCCTGGGGAGGGGTGGGGGGGGGAACAAGCAGAGCACTGGGGTAGATGTTCCATCCAGATCTCCCCTCTTCCTGTAGCTCCATCCTTCACTTTGGGCCCAGGGTCTGGCACTACGTGGCTGTGAGCATTCAGAACGGCCCAAATTAGATTGCTGAAAATCAGGACTGAGTTTTCAAACATCTCCCCCGCCCCACAATCCAAGGAAATCCTACCTTTCAGTCCCACTTTTCCTGTGTCACCCAGAATCCAAAGCTGTGCAAAGCGGTGAGTCCCACATTTGGAAACAATGATTCCATTAGACACCCATCTGTATTCTACCCCAGGACACGATGTGCATGCCGGTGTCCTGAGGGAGAGGAGAAGGGCGGGAAGTTGGCACAAGCTTTCCTTATATTCTCGAAGGTCCGATCCCCTCCCCTTACCAAAGTAATTCCTGAAACCTCCTTAACTCCTTAGGGCATTTTAAATTTGGTTGACGAGAGATGCTTTGTGATAGCGGGAGTAAAAGATGGTGGTTAGTAAGACATACTGAAAACACAACTAACCTTTGTTAGTAGGGATATCTTCATTAGTCCCGCTATACCGTAAAACCTGTTCTGAATTGTGTTTTCTCCAGAACAGGACTAGTCAAAGATAGGGCACTTCGGAAACCTATCAAACACGGAATTTAACGTGAGATGTTATCTATCGTATAAAATTCACTGAAATCAAACAATACCTAAGACACATTCAAGGACCGTCACTCTGTCCATCTTTTAGAGTTACTGTTGCAGTGATGAAACACGATGATCAAAAGGCAAGCTGGAGAGGAAAGGGGCTTACACTTCCACATTGCAGTCCATCATTGAAAGAAGCCAGGGCAGGAACTCAAACAGGAACCTGGAGGCAGGAGCTGAAACACATCATGCAAGGGTACTGCTTATTGCCTTGCAAATCATGATTTGCTCAGCCTGCTTTATAGACCCCAGAGATGGCCCCACCCACAATGGGCAATGCCCTCTCCCACCAACCCACCAATCACTAATTAAGAAAATACCCTACAGGGTTGCAAGCAGACTGATCTTATGGAGGCACTTTGTTTTTTCTTTTTCTTTCTTTTTTTTTTTTTTCTTTCTTTCTTTCTTTTTTTTTTTTTTTTTTTTTTTTTTTTTTTTTTTTTTTGAGACAGGGTTTCTCTGTGCAGCTTTGTAGACCAGGCTGGCCTTGAACTCACAGAGATCCACCTGCCTCTGTCTGCCCAGTGCTAGGATTAAAGGCATGCACCACCACCACCACCTGGCAAGGAGGCATTGGCAAGGAGGCATTTTCTTAGTTGAGGTCCCTTCTCAAATAACTCTAGCTTGTCAAGTTGACACATAAAACTATTCAGCCTCGTGCCCTGTTTCATCTGCTGTCCTGGAGATTGTCTTGGTTCCTGGGTTTGGATGTCACTTAGGTCACTTTCTACTTGGATAAACTGAGTCAATGAGCCTCTGAAAGTCTACTTAGTTTTTTTCTAAGTTAGTTTCTATTTTTTGGTGCTTTGAACGAGAAAGCCTCTTTTAGGTTCACATATTTAAGCGTTCCAGTTGGTCCCCAGCTGGTGATGCTATTTGGGAAGGCTTAGGAGGTGTGGCCTTGATGAACCAGGTGTGTCCTGGGAGTGGGCTCTGAGAGGAAAATGCTTGACTGCTTGTTGAGGTATGAGCTCTTAGCTTCCTGCTCCTGAAAACCCTCTATGCTCCCCAACCTCTGAAAAATGTAAACCCCAGTAAACTCTTCTATAAGTCGCTTTTGGTCATGGTGTTTTATCATAGCAACAGAAAAGTCAATAACACATATACAAAGTCATGGGTTTCCTTATGCCTCATTCACGCACACCATTATGCTTTGTTCTTATTCATTCCTCTTCCTCATGGTACTCCTTCCCCACTCCTTGTCCTCTCTACTGCGTCTCAGTTTGCTTATCTGGAAAATGGGGTAGTAATACGTAATATGCTCCATGGGATTTCGAAAGGATTAAAAAGGCTAAGTTAGCTATTTTCCAGAAGAATTGCCTTTATGCTCGAGATCTCTGTGAATCATAATTGTCATGTGGATAGAATTAAAGGTATTTCTGAGCAAGACTGACAATAGTGGCCCCACGGATAGGGAAGGGGATTCCAGGTGATGTGGTGTAGTGTGGCCTCTTCCTAAGTTGGGGCAGGGAGAAGTGTAAAGGTGAAATTACCCTAAAGAAACAGTACATAATAAAGATGGTATGATTCCAAGTGACATTTATTTCAAATGGCAGAATATGCCACACTGCTTTACATTTGCTGACAAAAAAAGAAATGTGATCCCAAATCATCCATGATCAAATCTAAGTCACTAAGAATGTCAAAACTAAGTTACTAAGAATGTCCACCGGAAGAACAAAACTAGGCTTGGACACTTTCCAATGTAAAAATGTATCACATGTAGAGTTTATCAGGTGCTGATGTGGAAACTACTACAGATAGGAGCTTAAAGAAAATGCTTATGAACTAGCATCACTGGGTAGCTATTTGTACCCGTCCACATAGTGCATACTCATGCTATCCTTCCATAAAACCATTGAAATTTGATCTGTGGTTGATAACGAATGTTGGTGGAAGTCGCTAGAGTAATTAAAATAATTACCTAACTTCAGAGCCTCTGCTCACTCTCTCCCTGTTTATTTTCATTTAATCGCTCTAATTATTTGTGTAGTGGAGTGAGTGTTGCCTCTCCTGCACTAATGAAGCCTTGGATTGCTGGCATTTCTGCATTCACTTGTTCTCAAATGCACAAAGGTAAAAAATAAATAAATAAAGATCTCATCTAGGGAGTTAACAAAAAGCATGTGTAATGACCAAACATTTGCCTGTGCTGTAGTGAGGAAATCTGCAGCGATGACCCCTGCAGCACAGAAATTGCAGCACAATTAGCCCACCGTGTTGAGCCTGGGGTTTTGCTAGTGTGACTAAATCAACCTTCATGTGAGCACTGGGGACATCCTTGGTATTCTTAGTCAAGAGAGAGATCAGGGAAGAAAATCCTCATACAACTGAGCATTTTAAAATATCTACATGACGAGAGTGTAGTTGTGCAATTCAATCGATAGAGAGACTCCTAGCTAATTGATGCGAGTGATGATCCAATATGAAAGTGTTGGTGATGAGTACGCACATGCACGTGGACAGAGGTGCTTTCTGTCCAAATGTCAGAGGAATTATGCCAAGTAATTCTAGCAACCTATTT